TCTGTACCCAAGTCTTCCGGTTCTGTGCCATCCTTCCTCCATGCCCACCTTACATACAACACAGCCCTGTGTCCAGCCGTCTGCTTGTCCTCTACCCCTGAATTCTATGCTTCGGCCACAACTGAGTTTCTCCACACACAATCTGCTGTTTCCCACCTCCCAGCCACCATTTCCAGCTGCCTAGAATGCACTCTGGAAAACCCCTCTTAACCTTGCAAACTCCTAGTCACCCCTCAAGATCCGCCAAACATCATCTTCTCTAGAACCCTCCCCATGCCACCCCAGGCTAAGTTGGTGGCCCCTTGCTCCCTCAGTCTCCATCTCTGTCTGCTGTAGTTCTATGGTGCATCACACAGCAGGGATCTGAGTCTCCCTAATTCAGCTGTGAGGTCCCTGAGGGTAAAGCATGCATCCCTGTCATGTGAGTTCAAAGCACTAGTTGGGATCAAGGTAGGAGCTCAACAAATGCGATACATTTAATTTCCTTTCCTAGCTGTCCTTCTTTTTCTCAACCAAGGCACTCCTTGTCTGCCATCTCTGTTTTGGAACTGGAAATCACCTATCCCCAGAAAAATAGCACTGGCCCTGGGGCACTCAGAGGTGCGGAGGTCACAAGGTTGATCCCTTTCCCTCATCCTCTTCTGTCTTCAGCCCGTTTCCCAGCCCAGCTATTGGGCATTTCTCCCCTGGCCTCCTGAGGGTCAGAGAAAAGTCACCAGTGGGGAGCTCACCCCCTCTTAAGACCTCCAGCTCCTGTAACTCATCTCCCTGGGCCATCACAGATGCTCAGACAAAAAGCTTATTAAAACATAAGCATGTTGGGCTTCCCTGGTGGCGCAGTGGTTGAGAGTCCACCTGCCGATGCAGGGGACATGGGTTCATGCCCCGGTCCGGGAAGATCCCATGTGCCGCGGAGCGGCTGGGCCCGTGAACCATGGCCGCTGAGCCTGGGCGTCCGGAGCCTCCGCAACGGGAGAGGCCACAACAGTGAGAGTCCCGCGTACGGGAAAAAAAAGTAAGCTTGTTAAATCTGGCCCATTTCTTACCTGTCAGTGAAGAGAGGAGATGCAGCAGCTGTGTAGCAGGGGCCCCTGGGGACTTCTGTGAATTCTTAGGCAAAGGTAAAGCCTGGCAGAGAAAAGGGAGTGGGATTACCCAAAGCCTCTCTAGAAAAGGAAAATCTGTTTCTTCCATTCAAAAAGCCCCTCTCCCTGCTCCCCTCAGCTAGGAATTTTCGGAGCTTGGTCAAAGGTCCCTGTAAAGTGGGAGGCAGCCGCTTCTCCTGCTGTGGGGTTGAGCAGCCGAGGCACCTCCCGGATCTGTTCCTGGTTTCCCTCTACGATTTTTATCCCTCCTTCTCGGACACCCCGGCCCATGATTTCTTACTCCTCACCCCAGCAGCAAAGGAGACCCAGAGGCTGGGGAGGCAGAACCCACACACAGTGCATCCTTGGACCCACCAACTGGGCTCTGGCTGTTACTGGTTAGGGCAAGCACTGGCCTTTAAGCCTCACGTCCCACCGCCTCAGAGAGACATGGTGAGCATGGTGCTCAGCACATAATTCTTGTCCATAAAAAAAATGGTGTGCACAAAAACATGGTGGTTTAGAAGGAAGATTTCAGGTAAAAGTGTAAGACCTTCTCTTCCATTGTAAATTCCCCTCTGTACTGGCCCTGTGTCACACTCACTGTGGCTGCACCAGGCTCCCTTCCACTTGGGGCTGGGGGTAGGGTTAGCCTGGGATGGCAGAAGCAGCAGGAACCTGCTCTGCCTCTCATTGTGTGTGAACTCGGGCAAGTCATGTCACCTCCTTGTCTCAACTTGCTCACTCGAGCCTCACGCAGAGGGTGGTGGAGTAGGGAAGTAACTGGCTTCTATAAAGCTGCTACCAGGAGCTCAATAAAACTTAGTTCCTTTTGTCTCATGCTCCCTCCACCCGTATCCTGGATTCCCTACATCTTGAACATCTTTGTAGATTGCAGATCTAGGGACACAGCCAAGAAATAAGTGGCCAGATCTCTTTGTGAGGCTGGGTTGGGATGGGGAGCTGAGAGAAGAGGGAGATGGTGAAACCTCAAAAGCCTCAGGGCTCCCGGGTTGCACCTCGGCCAGGAAGACTTCCCTGTGCTCCCATGGTGTGGGGCTTGCCCTAGCACTTTGAACTACTGCAGTGATGCATTTGTCTATCTTTCTCCGTTTAAGTTGTGAACTTTGCAAGGGCAGTGGTCTGTGTTGTTCATCATTGTGCCCTGTACCAGGGGTTGGTAGTGGCCCTGAAGGTGCCCCTCAAGAGAGTGGTGCAGGAACCATGGCTGGTTGACAGTCTCCAGCTGCCAGATCTACACCGCATTCCGAAAGGCTCTCTCTGCTTCTGCTCCCTTCCTTTTATCTTTGCTGCATTTCCCCCAGTAGATCTCCCGTGCACCTAACCTGACCTGACACACGGGGCTCTTGGTTACAATCTGCAGAAAAGGACATGGCTAACTTAGAAAATTTATTCAGAGGAAGGACATTGGGAGCTCCTGGAATTGACAGGAAGCTAGAGAATCAGGCACAGAAATGGGCTGGAATCACAGAAACGGTCATAGATCATGGCCCAGGACCAGTGCTGGTTAGGACATCCTGCTGGACACTTGACTTTAGGCAATACTGACCCATGTCACCCCCAGAAAAAGCCCCTTCTAGACTCCAGCCCCAACAGGAGCATGTCGGCACCCTGACTGCCAGGACCCGGGAAACAAGACTTGGCAGGTTCCCCAGATGGGAGTTCAGGCGCAGGGCTACCCCAGAGAACAAATGTCCACTCTCACCCTGTGGCAGCAGCACTCGGTATCTGCTGACCTGAACTTAGAGAACGCCGCTTCTCTCCTTTCTTCTGTCTCGGATGGTGGTTTATTAATTTATTCAGTCCTTGAACACCTGAGTGCCTATGGGGAGAGTAAATGTCCAGCGGTGGTAAACGCTTAACCACCAGCTCTCTGGAGGAGAAAAAGCACTGCTTTGTAGAGTTGATCAGTTTCCATGGTGTAAACACCCCATGGCTGTTTTCAAGCTACCGAAGCAATGTCACTAAGCACAGGGTTGCACAGCAGCTCTGCCAAGCCGTGGACTGTAACACACAGATCGTCCTGCCCTTGGTGAGTTTACCTTCCAGTAGGGCACTGCATTCTACCCTTGTGGGTTCCTTTAGAATAAAACAAAGCTTACAACCTGAATATTCAAATATTTCCACTATAAAGTCACAACTTATGCTGCAGCCCACTATGAATCCAAAAGGGAAAAGAGAACACTTCACATTTGAGGATTTCTCCATTTACCTCTCTACTTCTCCCCACCCTCCAATACATACATCCATTTCCCTCGATATAGCCACTCAAAGTTGGGGGGGGTGGGAAGGAGAGTGTTCAAACACTCGGTGCCAGTCTGCACCCCTCCACACCAATCCCCTTTCCTCCTTCCCGCTGCCACATCCAAGTCAGGACCTTGAACAGGAAGTGAGACATGAGAAGGCAATGCTCAGGATGGCTGACGAGAGGCCATCACACGCCACCTGGCCTTGGAAGGGAGTGTTACCCTCAAAGCTGGGACAGAAATAAAGGTTCCTCAACCCTCCCACTGACACAAGGGCCATCCAAAACAGAACAGAATTCCTGGGATGTCCTTCTGTGCCCTGGGGCCTGAACCCAGATCCTGGGACAGGGCACCAGGGGGAGGCTGAGGCCTTGTGAAGACCCTGGGGTGTGGGCAGGACACTGCCCTGGGGCGGAAGACCGGAGAGCAGCAAAAAGGAGGAAAAGAAGGGGTTTTCCAGAAAACTTGTCCTGATTGGCTCCCACCCAGCAGGTCTATCCTCAGAGATCTCATCCCCTTCCTTCCACATGGACACACACACACACACACACACGCGCACGCATGCACGCGCTGGAAGGATCCAGGCTACAGTCTCCTCTGGAGAAGCCAGTTGCCTGAACTCCTGGAGACATTAAGGGGCTGGTGTAAGGAGAGCCCCTCGCCCACCCTCTGCTTCCTGAGGGGGAAGGGCTCTGGCTTTCATGGGGTGTGAGGCCAGCCTGCAGAGCACAGCCTGGAGAGTCCCTCTCAGCCTAGCATGGGTGGCCTGGCCTCTAGAGCACAGCTGGTGTCCCGCGGCTGAGCAGTGTGGCCTCAGTGCCTCAGTCATTGCAGAGCGAGGGCAAGGTGTCATTCTCTTGTTGTGGGTTCTGACTCTGGCTCGGCGTCTCCTGCTCTGTGGCTGCTGTCCCTGTGGGCTGCCAGGGACAGGTCCTGGATTGGGGGCCCTGGAGGCCAGCAGCCAAGGCTCCTGAAATCCTCTCCTCTGGGTTTCTCTCCATCACTCTCTCAGGACACTTCTTACCTCCTCTGCTGCTTCAACCTCTGTATTTGGATGATTCTCAGCCCAGAAATGGAGAGGTGACTGTGCCTTGTGCCCAAGGCCTGGAAACATTACCCAGAAAGTTAGAGGACCTGCACCACGCAATTCAGAAACAGACTTTCCAACACTCAACTTAACGAGGGGGAAAGTACTAACTTTTTATCTTTTTGCTGTGCTTCTCTAACCAGTAAATTTCAGACCCATTATCCTGGACCCCTATTTTAGAGTACAATGCCACTTAAAGATAAGTGGTGTTGTGGTTACTTCTGTATTAAAACAGACTTATAGACTTGCAACATGGACAAACCTTGAGAACAGGGTGCTAAGTGAAACAAGCCAGATACAAAAAGACAAACATTGTATGATTCCACTTATAGGAGTTACCTAGAGTAGGCAATTCATGGAGACAGAATAGTGGTCACCAGAGGCTGGGGACGGGGGTGGAAGAGGAATGGGGAGTTAGTGTTTAATGGATACAGAGTTTCAGTTTAGCAAGATGAAAGGAGTCCTGGAGATGGATGGTGGTGATGGTTGCACAACATTATAAATACAAATACCACTGAACTATAATCATTAAAAATGATTAAGGGAGTTCCCTAGTGTCCTCGTAGTTAGGATTCTGGCCTTTCACTGCCATGGCCCGGGTTCAATTCCTGGTCAGGGAACTGAGATCCCGCAAGCCTCACGGCACGGCCAAAAAACAAACAAAAAAAAGTGATTAAGATGGTAAACTTTATGTCATGTGTATTTTACCAGAATAAAACAACAACGAAATGCATTATGAAATAGAATTACAACTTTTGTTTTCTTAAAACTCCAGAGACATTTCTGCCCGTGGCTGCCACTCTGGGCTGTGCCCAGGACCCTCAGGGTCTCTCACGTTCCTCTGTTGCTTGAGCAGCTTTAGGTAGAAAATTTGAGAAATGCTGTCTGCCTTTACAGAAGAGAAACCGGAGGCCCAGAGAGGTGATCCAACTCACAGTGCCCTCTGTCCTGGAGGTAAGAAGCACAGGCCTGGGGCAGCCCCTCCCACTTTCTTGCTGTATGCGTCTGGGACTGTTATTCATCTTCTCGAAGCTTCCATTTTCTCACCTGTAAAATGAGGATAACCCTACTCACGGGTGAGGTGAGGATGACCTGAGACAATGCTTGTGATGGGCTCAGTGTAGGGTCTTGGCATGTTAATAGTAAATGCTCAATGGACGTTGGTTTTATGGGGCAAGTACGTTCCTCTGGGGCTTTTCTTGGTTAAATGAGGGGTAAGAAGTATTAAGAACTGTACCACCCTTTATTCCTCCTTCATTCAACATGGTGACACTGGCCGAGGACAAACCCATGTATTTCTCAAGATGTCACAAGTGCTCCCTGAGGAGTAATTCTGTGTGGATTCAACCCCGACCACCTGTTTATAAATACTGGGTCTCTTTTTTTTTTTTTTTTTTTAATACTGGGTCTCTTAAGCAGATAAGGCCAACTGACCTCCGGCTCCACCAACTCCAGCACAGCCTTGTAAACAAGGGCAAAGTGGTTAATGTTTGTTCTTACTTAAAACATGTTCCCACACATGTGCCCTGTTTATATCATCCTGCACGGAAATCCCCTCCTGTGGACCCCTAATCCACCCATTTACTTCATGTATTCACCAAACATTTACTGAGCAGTTTCCAGGAGCCCCAGATGGGTGGGTGAGTGCATGCACCCAGCTCCCTCTTACCACTCCGGCCAGCGCGTCCCCACACCTGGCAGCAGGAGGGTTTGGGTGGCTGGGCAGAAGGCACACCTCTGTGGTCTATGTGAAGGTGCCCACATTGGTCTGGCTCAGAGGCATCAGGGTGCATGAGACAGTTTCCTCTGCCAGCCTCCCTGTCCAGAGAGCCAGTCTGCAGACAAAGGCCGTCTGCTCTGAGAATAATGAAGAAGGAGTGTGTTGGGGAGGGAGCCACAGGAACATCAAACCTCAGGGAGATGGAGGCAAGAAGCAGGTCCCCGGCCCCCACCAGCCAGAGACAGAATCCTGGAGCAACACATTCTGGGAGGGAGGGGCTTGTCGTGTGAGAAACTGGCTGGGCAGAGGCAGGGTGAGTCAGGGAGGGGCTGTGGGAAACAGCTGGCTTGGCTGAGTTCCCAGTGGGGAGATGCGGCCAGACTTATCTCCAGCCCCAGGGGCAGGAGCCGGGGCCGCTGAGGGGGCGACCACGCCTCGCCCGCCAGAAGGCTGGAGCACTGCCAGGAAGAGACAGGCAGCCTTCCAAGCACCCAGGGGCCGATGGGGAGGGAGCCCAGCTCGCTGCTGGCTGCTCTGCTCAGCCCCCAGCTTGGCAGCTCCCAGGCCTGGTCTCTGGGGAGCTCCAACTGGGACAGGGCCTCTCTGGGTCATATCACCTGCCTCCCCTCACAAATATGTTCACCAGTGCATTTGACTTAAAAACAAAAATCAATTTATGCGGCAATTAATGAATGCTTGGAGTGCCTTGGTGAATCATCTCTTTAATGACAAAAGTTGCATAATCACTTGTAACAAGTCTATGACTTCATTATTTACTTATTTAAGTCATTAGTTTATCTATTGCACAATCGAGGAAAGGGGGGATTCTAACCCTTGTTGGTTAGAAAGAGTTCCCCAAAGGATGATGGGACAGGGAGAGGACCCGGGTCCCTGTCACTCCTGAGGGTGGGCTGCTCTGGGGTCATTGCCATGGGCCCATCTGACACCAAAGGGGTCCCCGGGCTTAGAGGACAGGATCCAACATCTGCAGAGAGTCAACAAGGCGATGCCGTCAATAGCACATTAACCCCTGGGCAGGCTGGCTGCACCGTGACGTTCCCACAGAGGCTGAAGGCCCTTAACAAACAGCCATGGAACTCACTTCCAAATGCCCAATGAAGTAACCTGAGAACCAGAGTAGGCACATTAACAAAAACAGAGTCTAGCCCATCTCTCCCAGGCCTGCCTTAGAGATAGCACAGACATGGAGGGAATCGGGGTGAAAGTGGACACCCTCTTGGCATCCTCAGACCTTGCCCCCGGGCCCTGTGCAGGTTACCCAGCATAGGAAAGCCCTTTCCCTCCCACTGGGATGTTACAGTACTCAAGCCTGATGACCTTTTCAAACTGGATGACCTTCTGGCTGGGTTTGGCGTCTCAGAAACAAGACTTCCCAATGAGATTCCACGACGGCGGAAGGTGGCGGGGAGGTCATTTTCAACATCTCAGAAAATCTGAGGAAATCACACATTCACGTCTATCTGGCTCAAGCAAGTTAAAACTCAAGTCATTTCACTAAACATTTATGCTATCTTATGGCAGATGTAGGTAAATCCGATTAGTAAACAGAAAAACAAATTATTTCCCAAATGAGTTATACAGTTCTTGGTGGGCAAAATCTCTGAAAATCTAAGTGCAGGATAAAGTTCCAAAATAACCTCTCCTCAGTTTCCTTGACAGATATGTGATAACCTTACTGGGAAAGGATGCACCAACCCTTAAAAACCTCACTTAATTTCAGGTATTTAGGTGTAGTATAAACATTTTTATCTAGCTGCCAGTGTTGTTTCCACTTTTAAAGCATCCTTGTATGTACATCTTTGAGGTTAGTGGTTCCTGACTAGGTCTGCTACCCAAGAAAACGAATCCAATCAGAATTTCATCCTCGGTCCACTTCGAGGTGTTCTATGGGTACAAGGGTAACAAAATCCTTTTCTCTTTTGCATGAGGAATTAACCTTGGGTTACGACATAATTAAAACAGCTTTAGGGGAAGAAAAGACAGAGTCAGCAAGAGTATGTCACCCTTTCTCTCAAGAATTAAGACTCCCACCAACTTGGCTTCTGAGGCTTTTCCACCTCTCTCCATTAAAGGGTCTGGCATACCAGGCACAGAAGGGCCAGCCCATGTACGAGAATCAATCTTTGTCAAGAATAAGAGGCCCTGTGTTGAAAGGTCCCTGTGGTAGGTCAGGTCATCATCGTCCACGGTTTCTACAAGTCATTTAATGAAGGAGGTATAGTCTAAGTAAAAATGGAAACAGATTTAGTTAACAAATTAGGTTTCCCTCTGAGTAAATCAACTGAATTCAAAATCCAATTATCCTTGGGTGTCTCCCACGTTCCTCCTTTTTAGCTTATGCTCTTTGTCGATTCAGATTCTTCCCTTGTTCCCAAACTTGGTTCAAACCTTATGCTGCTGGAGGAAACTGCGCTTTTTTTTTTTTTTTTTTTTTTTTTTTTGCGGTACGCGGGCCTCTCACTGTTGTGGCCTCTCCCGTTGCGGAGCACAGGCTCTGGACGCGCAGGCTCAGCGACCATGGCTCACGGACCCAGCCGCTCCGCGGCACGTGGGATCCTCGTGGACTGGGGCACGAACCTGCGTATCCTGCATCGGCAGGCGGACTCTCAACCACTGCGCCACCAGGGAAGCCCGGAAACTCTGCTTTTAAACCCTGTCTTTTGTGGATTCCTCCTTACTCTGCTTTCCCATTTAGATTATGTAGTGAGCCAACATTGTACTTGCTTGTATTCAAGCATGCTGTTTCACTTTTAACCAGATCCTAAGCTACTGGTGGGCAGGGCCTCCTCCGACTCTGACCCACAGAAGATCCCCAGGGAGAGTGGTTGTGCTACAAAAAGCTGTGGTACTTACCTCGTGATGCAGGAAATCCAGCCACGTTACTCCTGCTTCTCGATCTGCTTGAGGACATTCTTCCTTCTCATCAAGAGCACCATTATCAGGGCCCCTAAGGATCAGATAGCTGTCAGCTGATGAGGACAAGTCATGATGCTGCTCCGGCAGACTCTAGTGACACTGCCTACAAGATTCATAAAAGCAAATGATGCTTCTGATTCCCATAGGAGGGAAAGACACCTTTTTTTTTTTAATAGTTTATGTTTATTTTCTTTTTCTTTTTTTAACATCTTTATTACCTTCTTTGCTTCTTGATGCCCTTGGCCAATGTACCCAGGAACACATCTACCACCTCTCCTCTGCTTCTTCTGAAGACAAATAGGCCAACTCTGGTTTTTCTGCCACAAACTTATTTTTGACCAATAATTCCCAACACCATGTATGCAATTCACTGTGTAGAAACAAAAGGCTTTGTAGAGTTTGGGGGTAGAGTGATAGGACAACCTATGCTCTACCAGGTCAATAAAAGTAATGTTGCTTTTTTCCATTCATGTGACCTACATAATAATTTTTAAAAGATAATCCTCTAGCTTATGAAATATCTACACTGTACTACAACATACATCCTATAAGTTATTTTAATAGTCTTTACATTAATTTGAGTTAGATGTTTTCTAGAAGAAACAGTTTTCAGAAACTAAGTGTTAAGAATAGTTGAAGGTTTCCCTGGTGGCGCAGTGTAAGAATCTACATGCTAGTGCAGGGGACACGGCTTCGAGCCCTGGTCCAGGAAGATCCCACATGCCGCAGAGCAACTAAGCCCGTGTGCCACAACTACTGAGGCTGTGCTCTAGAGCCCACAAGCCACAACTACTGAGCCCGCGTGCCACAACTACTGAAGGCCGCGTGCCTAGAGCCCGTGCACTGCAACGAAGAGTAGCCCCCGCTCGCCGCAACTAGAGAAGGCCCGTGTGCAGCAACGAAAACGCGATGCAGCCAAAAATAAATAAATTAATTAATTAAAAAAAATAGTTGTCTTTCCATAAATAGATTTAATATCGTACCCTTCAGAGATGTGGCCTGCTATAATCCATACCACTTTATTATGAGTGAATGATGGAAACAATGCATTTGTGTTTCTAAACTGTTTCCTGATAATCGCTGAATAGTTTTCACAGTTACATATTATGATACTTTCATGTAAGAAAATTAGCACAGCTGGAGTCATGCGGTCTTTATTAATTTGACAAAAAACAGGAAAATCTGCACTCATCTATCAAAATTATATCTTACCAAGAATTTGAAAGGTATTTAAAAAAGATGTATTCACAGTCTGTCTGAATCGTGTACAAATCAGTGTCTGTAGAAGCAAAAGCCAGACAATGAACACGTGAGGGTAAATGATCCCACTGAAACCCACACCCCAGCACCTTGACAGCACCATAAACACGACAGTCCTGTACTCAGTTCCGATAGTTGACTTGTAAACTGTCCTGTTGCAACACTTACTTATTTTAAAAGGAAAATTGCTTTCTGGGAAGTCCTTCCTGCTACACAGACCAGGCTGAAGTGCTAACACCAGATTCCAGGGCCCAGGGTGGACTCAACTACTTCCTCGGGGCAACGCTGAAGCTGTCCGAGGCCCTGGGAAACAGCTTAGACATTCAAGAAGGGAGTTCACTTCAGCACCAGGCTGATCTTTAATGCACAGATCTGAAGTGTTTCTTGCCAGAGGAGAGGACTGTTCCAATGATGCTATCCAGATGATTTGGGATGTGAGCGTGATGGTGGCCTTGCTGGGACACCCTGCTCTGCAGCTTCAATGAGGGTTGTGAAGAGCTGAAACCACTGTTTTTAATCTCCTGTGTCTGGGGAATTTAAAATGAGGCAAGAAGATCACAAGGATCACTTCTTGGCTCAAATTTATGATGATATTATTTCATCCCAGGGCAAAACCAAACATCCAGTTTTCAAGTCTCTTTCCAAACTCAGCGTTCAGGATCCTCTTGGAGTTGAGGAGAAAGACAAACGCAAATCTAGAGAAAAAGGAGTACTTTACTGGAAGGATTGGTTTCTGGAAGACTCAAGTCACCATAACATCAATTTTATAAGCCCTCAATAACAGTTACCATGAAAAGGGGTTATTGACAGGTAGCTAATATTTTAGAGAAGTTAAAGCTGGTATTTACCAGAAAACAAGAGACTACAGCTACATTCTGAGGTTACATCTTACTCATTTTTGCATCCTTAGACTCCAGCACCATGCCAGCAACACAGAAGACATTGAACAAAATTTTTCATCGTGGTTTCTGAGCTCATTTTCTTCAGGGCTAGATCATGAATGGGCAAATACGCAAGGCCAGGCACTGGGGGTCAGGATCAGAGGCTTCCTTGAGATGTCTGACCCTGGAAGATCTTATGTGGTAGTTCTGTCTCACATTTTACAAAATACGATCAAGACTACATATATAAAGCTTGTTGAGGCCAAGTAAAGGGCGAGTACTAAACATATTATTTGTTTGGGCATCTGTTATGGAAGGAGGGTTTTTAAAATCAAGGGACACTTTGAAAAATGGGGAACCGTGAGTTTAAAAGTAAAAACACCACCTCGTCAGTTGTTGCTTCTGTAGTGAAATCAATAAATTGTTCACTTATGATTTTCTTTCAAGTTGCTTAGAAAGCTTCTCCTTTTTCTGATCAAGAGAGTTTACAGTGAGAGCTGTGACCTGAGGACCACACACTAACCTGGTGAGAATCAAAAACAGAGAAGCGATCCCTTCCTCTTTGAAAAAAAATCCTCTACAAATCCTCCAAATATGGTTGGTATTTCCATACGCTAGTTTGTGGCAACATTCTGTATGTAAACACTCTCTATTCTTCTGTAGGCCAGTCAGACACAGACATCAGTGGTCGCCCTTCTTCCTACTGTCCTCCCCTTTTTATTAAGCAGGTCAGCTGGGCTGGTCAGGTTTTACCATTTGTTCTGTCTGGTTCCACAGCCACCCCTTGCCCCTGGGCGAGGGTGCATCCTCAGTGGAATTGCTACTGTTTTCTCTGGTGACAATCTATTTTTCATGGTGGAAGACTAGCATTTTGGTATTTCAGAAACAACTGAATTGACTCTAAGACGGTTCAAAGGAAAAGTCTGCGTCCAAGACCGGTGCTTTAAAGAAATAAGATGTATTCTCTCTATGCTGAGATGTGGTTCCATCTTGCAGAAAGTGACAGGTCTATGGCAATCTTTCTACATAGGACAGCAATACATAGGATGGATTTGAACACAATCACACACACCACACACCCTCTTCAGAGATAAACCGTTCATGAAAGAGACAGCATGTTTGGGATCCTCACACAAATAAACTACTCTAGGTCAGAGCTCCCTTCAAGACTGCTTCAAATCTTCAAATCACACATTAGTTTTCAGGTGGCTTTGTTGTAACTGTTGAACTTCATGTCTTCCTGGAAGATAATACCCACACTGTCACAAATCTGAGGAGAAAAAGAAAATCTTGGGAAAAGGGCCTAAGAGGAGCCAGTTTTTACACACAGGTTAGTACCAGCACATTACTCCTAAAGTTAGTTTCTTATAAGAAATATTCCATGACAGAAAACAAATACTCTAAACTCCAAGGAGAACCCCAAACCGGATCAAATGATGGCTGGAGAAACAGCAGCAGGAAACAGGGGGAAAGCTGGCCTCTCTTCAGCCACAAGGAGAAACTAAGTTTCTCACAAATGCCTAGAGTCTGAGCACCATGGCTGAGGGCTGTCCGTGGTAAAAGAGGGGGTGTGCCCCGGCAAAGCTTCATCCAGAGGTGCCGTGTGCTCGCAGGCGGAGGCTCTGTTCATGTGCATTGGTGCAGCTGAACTGCACAGGGCCTGAACTCTGCAGCCCAATTCTCACAAAGGTACATTGAAACAAAAGGTAACGTGGAAGGGAAAACACAAGACACCCATTGTGAGGCTCTTGAGGAATCACTCGGATCCCCTCCTTCCCAGGCCAGGCTGTGAGCTCATCTTGTCCCATTGGCTGTTGGAGACCCCTCCTCTCCCCTCTTGGCCGCTGGTTCTCCCCCTGACCCTTGGTTCTCCCACAGCTCACCAAGTGAAGTAACAGCTATCTCCAAGCTTTGTACTGATACAACTGACTCATAAACTTTATAAACCACCAGCTTTTGGCTATTTGTTCAAATTCTGACCTACTGTCAAGAGACAATGGGTTGTAGTTAAAAAGAAAAGACAAACCAGAACAGAAAGTGCTTCACCAGCCATCTTACTCTTCTTTAATCCTACCGTCGTTGGGCACATTGCATTTGCTATTTAAGAAAGTACGAAAGCAAGGCTGGTAGCATTGACTCATGACACATTCTTTGCACCACACACAGAGCAAAATCCTAGAACAACTGGATCATCTGCTTCCACAACAGAGCTGCCTTATTCGCTGTATAGAAGTGCTTGTGCGGGGAGTACCGGAGAGACGGGAGGAGGGAGGGACCTGGGGGCAAGTGAACCTACAAGTATGCCTAAAAGTTAGGAATTTGGTGGAAAATCCAGAATTTACCTAAGGGTGATAGGGAATTGTTGAGTTATAGTTCCACTCTTTCCAGAAATAAATGACTGCATTTGGAACCTGAGGTTAAGACTTTTAAGATAAAGCAACCTCAAAAAAGTTCAGACTGGCCTTGGGAAGAAATGGCAGCCATAGATGGTAATGAGCTTCAGTGCTTGAGAACAAGTGTCAAAATCAACCTACACCTCAGGTGAAAAAGAGTCTTATTTAAAAATGCTAAGTCTGCAGCAAAAAATCTGAAAGTTTGAGCCCCTTTCCATCTTTCCATTTTGCTCTGGTGCCTGCTCTCCTTACAGTATCTCACGAAAAGGTTCAGAATTCAATACAGATTTATTAGGCTGACTTTCAACATGTAGTTTAAGATGAAGAGTCCTGTTTGGTTTAAACCATTTCAGTTAACCTCTTGGTAATGGTAGTCCTGAGAGTCTGCAGCGTTGGTAAAATCCACCTGTGACCAAAGGTCAACCTGCTGGTGGGAGCACAGCAACTTTCTGGCTCATCACTTTGCCTTGTTCTTGTCCCTCAGATCTGGCAGTTTCTGCACTGAGGGGCTCGGTCCACCACAATGACATGTTCAAAACCATTTTCTGTAGACACCTCCTTCCAACGCCCAATAGTGCAGGTGGTCAGGAAGACTTGGAAGGAAGCTGCAAAAAGTCCAGCTGGGAATCTTGACTTTGTTAGATGTGGACACAGGAAAATCACCTTTGTCCTCCCCAGATTTATTATAGTCAAAGGAGAAAAATCCATGAGATTCTAACTGCAAATATGCTAGATATAAAACTGATGGAATGCTAATTGGTCCATAAAGGGTTGCACAAGATAATCTGTGGCAAAGTAGAAAACAAGCCCAAAGGTGATAGAGATTGGAAGAGCTGGCAATGCTTTCTTGAAAATGGCGAGGAGCAATAATGTAAGGCACAAACCCTGTGGAGAAGACGGGAAAAGACACAAACCCAGACATAATTATGCAAGTATTTTGTGCAAATCAACTCAATCACAAGTCTCAGTTTTAATTTAGTTAATTCAATACAATCCTTTGACATTAACTTTTAGAACAAAATTTTTTCATTAAATCTGGAAACAACATTTATTTTCCTTTGCAACAGAGATCATTATCCATACATTGTTGATATTTCATCCCTAATTCTAGATAGGGAATAGAATCTGAAAATAAGTAAAATTATTTTTGAAAACAAATAAACAATACTGAAA